TTTTTTTAACGTCTTTATTGCCTGAAAAATAGAATCGACTGCATCTGAAGGCGGAAATGAATCATAAGGGGGGAAATGAAGTGTGGCGCTCTATGAGGCATGAGTCCAGACGAAGCAGCGTCTAGACGGTTTATTACGAGTTGTTAAATATTCATCACTCTCTCTCTCGTTTTGCACACAGACCCGGAGAATATTTTGGCTTCAAGGATTTCGGCAGTTTATGGCAATTAATTCTGAACCCGGCCTCGTCCTTCTGGCTCCGGCTTTTAAGAGACGAGAAAGCAAAGTGTCCCAGCGCACGTCCGATTTGAAATGCTAATTACGCTGCTTAAATGAGAGAGAGAGAGAGAGAGAGAGAGAGAGGAGGACTGAAACGAGAAAAGGTGAGCGGAGGAGTTCAGTTTGTCTGAACGCAAAGATATCTGTAAACGTGGAGAAGACAGAGAGTCATCACTGAAACACTTTGGGCTGATTTAAGGAGCATCTGCTGCTCCTCGAGATCTGTGCTGAAGAGCCTCCTCCGCTATGAACACTGAAGAACTGAAGGATGAGATTTGGGTTTGAGTCAGTAAGTTGGGCTGATTTGCAAAAAAAAGAAAGGCTGCAAAAATGTCCTTAACTTTCTCTTCATGTAGAGTAAATGTTGGATGAAGTTTCAGTTAACAGCTGATTTCATCCAAACAACATTCCCAAAACTGAAAGATGAATAAATGACTGTAAAGGTGGAGTCAGCAGTATTTTTCATTGCAGATTGTAAACACAACACCTCTCGTCCTGGGCTCAGAAGCTCCGCCCCCTGCAGGATGTAGTGTGTACGCTTACTGCTTGTACCTACACTGCAAGCTACAGCACGCTAACACAAGCTAACCGCCGGTGTTTGTCACCTTCCTGTCCAAACAGGAAGTAGACCAACTCCACGTCCACGGGTAAAAGACAACACAAGGTTCACCCTCGTTTTAGAACGATCTTTATCCACTCTGTGTTTCTCCTCACTCTCATTATATTTTCTCTTCTTTGCTGCTACGTCCACGTCCGTCATATTCACCGCTTTGCCTCTCGTCCAATCTCTGAATTGTATCCACTCCTAAACTCTCCTGCTGCGCTGTCATTGGCTGGAGGGAACACATCATTACTTCTTAAGAAAAAGCTGCTGAAGCTGCTGAAGCCAGTGCTCACTTTGGAAGGCTTGTGCTGCCTCAACTAATCCGTCATGACGGCGTTAACGTGTTACACAGGTGTCTAAGTACAGTCTGCTGTGTGCAGGATTTAACCTTTGACCTACAGATGTCAGTGGACAGAAGCCTGTCCTGAACTTCTGCCTCAGAGTGTTGGAGGGTTTGAAGTGTACCGGGGGGGTTGCTGATTTGGATTTGATCCTCATAGTTTATGCTTACTAATTAAGATTACTCCTGACAGCAGGATACGCAGCTTCTCATTGGCTCCTTGTCCTCAGTGTTTTTTGTCCTGTTTTCTCTCAGATCGAGCTGGCGATCCTGCGCTTCCCGTACGACTCGTGGGGAACGCCGTTCCAGCAGCTGAAGCAGGTGGTGGAAGAACCTTCACCCCAACTTCCTGCAGACCAGTTCTCCCCCGAGTTTGTGGACTTCAGCTCTCTGTGGTACATCTTTCTCTTTCTGCCATAATCACCTCTCAGAAGAAGAAAAACTCATTCCATGTTTTTCTTTTCTGTTTCTGCACAAATAACCCGCTCGTGTGTGATCTCCTCCGGCAGCAGAGACTCAGTTCTGTTCAACAAAGCCTCAATAACTCTGACTAAAAGTGCTTTGATTGCAGCTGAGTGGGCTTAACGTTAATGTTCCTTCTGATGACTCTGAGTTTAGAATGACTTCTTCTGTTGTTGTTGTTGTTGTTGTTGTTGTTGTGAGGACACTCACTCGTTGTTCTCAGAACACTGAGCTGAATCCAAAGTGAAACCTTCAATCTGTGTGTTTGTTGGACCTCAACATGTTCTGTCTCGTGAGCTCTTTCAGAACTCTTTCTGGACCTTTCTCAGTCACAGATAATCAGTTCACGGTGACGTTCAGCAGATGATGATAACATTTTAAAAGCTCTTAATGTTTGTCTGCTCAAACTCTGATTTATCAAAGACGTAGCTGCTGACATGTTTTAGCTGAAGGTCTTTAAAGAGTGAAAGAAGGTCGCTCTTCATTGTGAGCCTGAGGTGTCTAAGAGCAGTCGGTCAGACCATCAGAGTTCTTCCTGTGCAGGGATTCTGGTCCCGGTCTTTCAAAAGGTTCCCTTTAAAGGTCTCATGCAAAATACAGTACGGGACGGATCCAGGAGTTCTGATTTCTTACTTTTCTTACTTCTCATTTATCGTGGACTGATGTCGTTGTTTTTGCTTCTTTTTGCAGCTTAAAGAAAGTTTCCAAAGAGCGGCCGAATTACACAGAACTCATGGTGAGCATTTTCCTCTTCCTTTTTTAATTTATGTTTTCCACATTTTGAAAACACAGACAAACACTGAACAACACAGACAAACACTGAACAATGCAGGGAGAGTTCAGAGAGAGTTCTTTCTGTGTTTCTTTTTCTCAATTCTAAAAACTCCAAATGAACATGAAAACTGCATGAACGCCATGCGCATGCATCGTGTAATGCTGGTGATCAGACACCAGAGGGCGCACTAAGATTATTATAGTCCGATGTGTCTGATCTCTCTCTCATATTGAAACTGCTTCAGTTACATTTTGACACAGAGCAGGTAGAACATACTCAGATGTTTTGTCGTTGCACTCGGACTAAATGAAGTCTTTTTTCCTCCTTCAGCAACATCCCTTCTTCACCTCGCACGAGGCCAAAGAAACCGACGTGGCTAGTTTTGTCAAAGTCATCCTGGGCGAGTGAGCTGCTACATCTGCACAGGTGGAGAAGGTCACACATCTGGTTTAAAAAACAAACAAAAAATAAGATTAAAAAGGTAAACAAACAAACAACGGCACCACTCGCTTCCCCCCCCCGATGGACGGAGCCCGGAGGAGAAGCTGACGGAGCCCCCCCCCCCACTGTCTGTATGCAAACGCTCCCCTCTTTGGTTCCATTAGTCCCACCTGTGTGCACCACCTACTTCTCAAACGTTGTGACTGGTCAGCGAGGTGACCGTGTGTGTGTGGCGGACAGTCAGACTGACGGTGTGTTTGTTTCTCAGAGGAGCAGATTCTATAGAAATATGAAAGATATAATATCTATGTATAATCTAAATGTTTGTATACTTAAAGCAAGTGTTGCATTGGTTTATTCAGTGATCGCATGTACAGAATATATCAGTAAGGAGCAGCTGCAGAGTCTCAGACCTGCAGCCTCACTTCAAGGCCCTCCTAGTGGTCACTAATAGGTACTGCACTTGAACTGCTCTCCCTTGATTACAGCAGAGGTTCTGCTTCACGTTCTGGGCTCCGGCTGCCTGTGAATGTGTGTGTGTGTGTGTGTGTGTGTGTGTGTGTGTGTGTGTGAGCTGGTGCACGATATGTTTATGTGTCTGTAAGGCTGCACGTTTTGAAGAATGGACATCATGATTTTCTCACATCGTTCTAAAGGGCAACACATTTTTTTTTTTTTTTTTTTAAGTGTTTCCTCTGCAGTCCAGCTTTGACAGTTCTATATATATTTTTTTTTTTGGGGGGTGCAGGGATTTCATGTCATTCTGATGGCCCTGCTAACTTAACGTTGAGTTTTAATTGCAGTATGATTTTTGTCCCAAAACTGCTTGAACATTTGTGCAGCTCAGTTGTGTCAGAGGCCGGGCTGGGTTCATTTATTCCCTTCATTTGTTTTGATTTGGATCTTGTCTGTTTTTGTCAAAGTGCTGACGTCGGCTACAGAGGTTCAGAGAGAACATTTAGCACTTCCTCCTCTGCAGGATTCGTTTGTCCACAGCTACATGTGTGACTTTGAAGAAGTTCTTTTTTGTCGTTTGTGTTTCGTGTCTGCACGGACCTGCAGCGACATGCAGCCGTTATATATGTGCAAAGTGCGTTCTGGAACAAACCTGGACACATCGACTGTCTGTGCTATCGTCACAATTTGAATTTGCCCCCTGAGAACATGCTGGTTCATCTCTGACCCAGCATGTTCAGTATGTTTACATTTTACAGACACATAGACTGACCGACTCTCTACATATTTCTCCAGGTTCCAAATCTCACAGCACGACACCAGTATTACCCACAACTAGCTAACCGGCCAATAAAAGACATTTAGCTTAGCCGTGTTTCACCAGCTCTAACAATGCAGGTGTAACGGCATGCTAATGCTAATGCTAACACATGAGTCTGCAGAGAGGTACGAGGTGAAGATGCTACCTAAATGTGATCAATCGTGCAGCCTTACTCGAGACACACACACACACACACACACACACACACACACACACACACACACACACATTACAGTGGTGTGTGTGTGTTCATATCGTGCTCGGTTGTGGGAGAAGATGCTCGTGTTGTTGTTGTGTCCTGAGCCAATCACAATCCTCTCCACTCTACGTTCAACATGGAAAGAACTGGACTTTATTACTTTATGATAAATATTATACAAGTTATAGTTTTTATTTTGATTTGGATGGAGCCCCCCTCCCCCCTCCCCGACATATGTCCTGCAGATTAGTTTTTATTTATTATACCTGCTGTTTTCCCTCCTAACACTTGAGCATCGATCCACCTGACTCTTGTGTGTGTGTGTGTGTGTGTGTGTGTGTGCGCGTCGATGCTAAACCTGTAAACTCTCTATGTGCCTCTCTATAGAAAACATTTAAGGATGAAAAATAAGATGTTGTCATGAGGACGCTGCAGGGATCTGCTTCCTCCCTCGTCCCGCTCCGCATGGCGTCACAGATTCACCACCTTGTGTTCCCCGCTGACATGTTCCTCCTCCTCCTTCACTCTTTGCTCTCTTTCTCTCACCGTGGTGTCAAAGCGTCCGCTCCTCTCACATAAAGCTCCGCTGACCTCTCTCGATGTTGTGCAAGTCCTGCTCCAAAGACAAAATTGGGAAACTTGAAGTGCTGTAGAGTACAAGGCCGGAAAGAGGAGTGCTGTCACTGACGGTTTCTGTATGAGTTTCTGACACTCAAGTTCTGCTGAAGTCATTTGGTGGTTCCTTGAAGGAGGATTGGCGTCTGCTGTTTCTGTCGACTTTTATGAACTTTTTATCAGGGTGCACTCAGCCCCTCAGCGGACTTTAGTCCCTGTGTTTGTGAGTCAGACGGTTTTTGCACCCGGGTTGATCAGGGGCTAATTGTCCCCGACTCGATTGCATAACAGCTTTTTCAAATCGTCTGCACAGAGACGCTGTTTGCTCTGCAGTATTGAACCCTCTGCGTGTGCTTTATTGTGACATCCAGTCGTGTTTGCAGACGTTTTGGCGGTCTCAGGAGCGGACACGGTCCTCCCTCTGATTCAGGTCCCAGCGTCTCCAAACAAAAAGTAAAAGATTGTTATGATGCCCCTAAATGGTTTCAGATTGAGCCGCTGACGTACTAACAGCAGCTTCAACACGCTGTAAACAACGATCAGTGTCGGCTGTGTTGTTACAGCAGCTAGTTTCCTTTTAACCCTTCACCCCCCCCCCCCCCCCGATCTCCCCGACTGTCCTCCAGATCACTCCAGAAACTTCCTAGAAGTTTTATTTACAGACTGAAGTCGAACAAAGCTTCCTCTTTTTCTCAAGTCGCTGTGCTCTAAACCTTCTGTTAGTTCCTCTGAAACCACCATTACCACATTGACCACATGACGGCTGGACGTGTCATTTTGACACTTCCTCTTCTCCTCGGAGGGCGTGAGGCAGTCTGTCAGACACCTCTCTGTCCACAGTCATGACTCACTCTGAGATGGAAACATACTCCTGAGGAAACTCTAATGAGAATGAAAATGAGTCAAATTTGAAGTTTACATTTTTCTATCAGCAGAGTAAAAAAACAAAACGTTGGTTCATGTGCAGAACAGCCTGTCACAGGACCGTCCCGATCCCCTCCCTGTTCACTCGTCACGCTGTTCCTTTTGTGTGTCAAGACCCCCCGCTGAGCCCTCTTGGCTCAGATAATCGGCGTCATTTTCTCTAATGAAGTGATTATGAGGAGGACAGTGAGAGCTCTCGTGGAGGCGGGCTTCTGAGGACGAGTGGTTTTTTTTAAAGAAGGGGGACACAGAGTGCAGAGCTCATACTGCGTCAGGACCCGACTGGTACAGACGAGTCGCTATCTTTTGATTTTCACTTTTATTTGAATGATTTTTAAATGTTCTAAAACCAAAAAGCCCAAAGACTCTTAATTCACTCTCTTGATGACCAAAAAAAGCAGAAAATCCATCCATCCATTATCTATACAGCTTCTCCTGTTCAGTGGTTGTGAGGGTCTGAAGCTGATTGCAGCTGTCACTGGACAAGAAGCGGGGTCACACCCTGGACTGTTCACCTGTCAATCAAACAGGGCTGACATATAGAGACAGACAACCAGCCACATCAATAATCAAAATGTCCCTTTTGAAGGACGCAGCCCCTTCATTCTAAATGAGGTCATAGTTGAAGTGCATAAGAAGATAGAAGCTCTGTAAAAAAAAAAAAAAAAAAAAAAAAAAAGGAAGAAGAAATTGCTGATCAAGGAAAACAAAGGAGGAAGTCATGAAAGTGAAATAAAACAAACATGCAGAAAGACTTCCCAAACTTACACAAACATCAGTAAGAGACAGAGAAATGATGATGGGATTGATGCTGGAAAAAATGAGCAGAACCAACACACATCATGTTCTGGATATTATCTGAGCAATCACGGGTCGAAATCGACACAAACCGAAAAAAAATCCTCAAAGGAGCTTTAAGTTTATTTTGCAAAAGGTTGCCAGTTGCTCTGTGTGTGTTGTGTGTGTGTGTGTGTGTGTGTGTGTGTGTGTGTGTGTGTGTGTGTGTGTGTCTCTTCTTCTGTTACATGTCGCTCTCTGTGTTTTCTGTGTGAGCCTTCATACACGTCTGCTTGCATGTGGGGTGTTTTCCCGCTCGCGCTCTATTTGCGTCTCATGGTCACCTACTGAGTAAAACCTGGGGGGGGGGGGGGGGGCAGGACATCCGAGTGGAAACTGTCCTTTACGGTTCCGATTATTCTCACATCCCATCACGATCCCCCCTCTTAACCTCTCTGAGTCTGTCCGAGCACGTTTGTTCCTGGATGATGAGTTAGCAACATCCCAGTTTTTCAGGAGCTGGTTTTACTGGAACACTTTTCTCTTTAAAGAGTTAAATAGTAATGTAAGACTGAATCAGAGGAAATTCAGCTCACCTTCCTCCTCATCCTCAAATTGTGTCAGACAAACATATGTCTGACACAATATATCTCAACGCCCCATGTTTGAAACTTCCCGTCCCCGAGCCCCCTCACACATGATGATCTGTCTGTGTGTGTGTGAGCCGTGCTGAGCTTTCTTGAACGCTTCATTTGTAATCCACCTGCTGCACAACATCTCGCTCTCTCTCTGAGCTTTCTGGAGGTCGGCGTGGAGCTTAGCGTGTCTCTGTGGTAAACCGCTGGAACACACAGCTGTATGTGACTCTGACGATGCCGTGTTGTGTTCTTCTTATCCGGGGGGGGGAAGGGGTTTGAAGGGTTTTGTGTTTTTCAGAATAAAACAAATCCAGAGATGTTACTGTACGTGGAAGTCTTTTGTTGCTGTCGGATGGGTTCTGGGACGGGGGGAGGGGATGGGTTGTTATAATGTCTAAAGTGCATTGCCCCATGGGAAGTGAAGTTCTCACCTTTATGTACACATCTCTAAAGCCTCTGCTAAAGACTGATGACTGTTTATTTAGAGCTCAATGAATTTCTATGAATATTTGAGGTTGCTCGGAATGATTATGTGCAATTGTTAATGATGGAAATTCAATAAAGAAAGAGGTATTTTTACACAACATGTTCCCAGTCTGCTCTTTGATGCTGGAGAGATAAAGTCTCTCTGTGATATCGGTGGTACGGCTTTTCTTGGGTTGGTGTTGATTATAAGTTTAACCCTTGGTGGTCGTTAAAGTCTTTATATGTGATTTTTCACACTTAAATGTATAAATCAAGTATATCCTCTGAAAATAACTCTGTGAGTCATGACTGTCTACAATGGGTGTAACACCCGAGTCCCACTGTCTGTGATGTTTTCAGAGTCCTATCTTCAGTTTGTTTACATCGCCAGGACGGCCGGCTGACTCCTCCCCTCATGTATAAAAGTTGTTTAATTGAGGGACTAGAGAAAAGAAGAATAACATACTGTACTCACTGCTTAACTGTGTTTCTAGATCACGCTCATTTCAGGTAAATTTACATGCAGTGTGAAGATACCAGCATAATAAAGATCGCTAGCATTAGCATGCTAACACAACAATGCAGCACGAGTTGTTTTGGTTTCATGCTGGTGCTCAAGGGCGACATCTGCTGGATCAAAAAATCGCATATAAATCCTTTAACCACACACTAAATAGACTTCATTAAATATAGCTTTAGGTGTGTCCCTGTGCTCTGTGCGTCTCGTAGCGTAGCATAAGCACAGAGTGAACAAGGCAACTGTCCACCAAATTATTATTGCTGATCACCAAACATTTCTAGAATTTTTTTAGAGAACATTTTCCTGGAACATTCTGGGAACGTAAAGAAAACTTCCCGCTAAAAACATTTTCAGAATGTTTTTAGAACAAAAAATTTGCTAGCTAGGAATACACCATTTTGAATTTCCCCATGTTGATGGTTTTAATTTCCTCGTATAAATCCTTCTTCTGATTTGTGTCATTGCTTTGTAGTTTCTTTAATTTCTTCTGTAACTGACTTGATGTCATTGTAAATGAGGGTTGCCCGACATGTTGAATTTAAATGCTTAGAATCCAAAAGTTTGTTTACAATAAGTTAAAAAAATGTCTTCGTATCGGCTGTGATCTTTGTTTTTCCTTCTGTTAGTATCTGTCCTCTGTGTTTGTCTCACTGACCTTGCTCTGCTGTAATTGGGTATAAACTCGTCTTTGCAGGGCCGGTGAAATGTCACGTAGCGCAGCAGCTTTTTGAAAGCGGAGTGCCGCAGGGCTGGGAACTGGACCCGTTGAACTTCCGCACGCGTACAGTATCGCGGATATTGCGTGCAGAAAAAAACAGAAAATAAAAACACAGAATCTCCTGCAGGAAAACAAAAGCAAAGATGAGAGAGAGAGAGGGGCTCGGAAAAACAAAACAAACCCACCAGAATGTAAACAGAGAGCTGAGCGCTGATTGGACGATGGTGAGAGGAACCCCGCTACAAAGCAAACTACCTGCTTGTTTCTCACACACCACCTGCTCAGACACACAGCCTGTCTTGACGCACATCCCTCCCCCCCTGAAGTCAGGTCTTAGACTTTAAAGGTGGATATTTTTGGCCTCTATTCTGCACAAAGTCTTCCTTCCTTTCTCGACCAACTCTCAGACTTTTAGAGCAAAGTTCATCCGACAGTTTGGAAAAACCCCATCCTGCATTCGTAGAAAGCAGAATCAAACCCCTGACATGTGACACATTTATGTTGATTCTTTATGAAGCCTGGAGGTTTGTCGGGTCAGTCCACGTCACAGTCCTGAATCAGGCCAGCTCTGGAGGTCCGGGGTCATGGTCTGCAAGATACCAGTCTTAAACACCCGTCACTATCAGGTGTCACTGGAATTCTGCTCTTGTTTTATTTTTACCCACACTACGACTTGTTTGCTTGTTGATGCGCCAACAATATGTTTTCTTCTCGATCCCTCCGACGTCATCAAGTTTCCGCTTCCACCTGCCAAGCGCTTCCAGAGATGCACCACCTTCACCCAGACTTTGTTTACTGTCTCACTGTTACACAACACTTGGACTCGCAGGTTCTAAAAAAACAAACATCAATCTTCAGACCGTTTTATGAGCATAACAGGAATAATCTGAGATAGAAGTTCAAGTCTTGAATGGAAAATTTTGGACCTGGACGACTGAGACCTGCCACAGGCAAAATTAGCATTTTGTACAGCCTGTTTTCAAACGATGCTACGATGCTAAAAAGACTACATTAACTACTGAAACGACAGCTGCATTTTCAGAGATGCTTGCTCTTTAAAACATGTCATTTTAAGTTTTAATGCATCACAGGACAGAACGAATAAACTGATTGTTAAAATTATTTTTACTGTGTGCAAAAAGAAGAAGCTAAAAAACACAAATCTCTTCAAGTGAACACTTTTCATTTCTGATGAAGCAGGTGGATAAGATGGAGTCAGTCCATGTAGAAATGTTCTAGCAGCTTGTATTCAAAACATTCAAACTTGGCCCCTCCTCCTGGGCTCGTCGCCACCACCAGAGGAGCACGCCCCCGGCAAGCTAGCACAAGCTAACCGCTAGTGTCTGTCACCTGCCTGTCCAACAGGAACCAACTTCAATTCCACGGGTAAAAGCTAACACAAGGTTCACTATGATTACATTTTCTCTTCTTAGCTTTGTGCTACATCCATGTCGCGTCCAATCACTGAACTGTATCCCCTCCTAAACTCACCTGCTGCGCTGTCATTGGCTGGAGGAAACACACCAGCTTCGCCCACAAACGTCCTGAGTCAACCAGACCAAAGCAGAACAGTAAAATCCAGTGAGAGGACAGAGTCTCTGCAGACACAGTCACCACCACACATGTATGGAGGCCCGTTTGATTCTAAAATTGGTTCAGACACTTATTAAATATTATATTGTGACAAACTGACATTATTGCAGTTAGAAATAATCAGTGTTTCAGCAGATTCGTGTGGTCAGACGGTGCAGAAGAGGACTTTAAACTGAGAAAGTGAAGCTCACTGTGACCAAACAGCAGCCACACCTGTTAATTCAATAAACTCTAACTGTGGGATGTGTCGCTTTCCTGCTGCTGTGACTTCCTCTTCAAGCTTTTTTTTCCGCCCCCCCATAGGTAAAATGTAGTTGTTGTTTTTCTCTCATGGAGCCTCTCTGGCTGTTCTCCCACTGTTTCATGCTGCAGGTTTTTTGTGCCACCGTTTGACCCGAGGCCCAGCAGGAGGCTCCTCGCTGCAGGCCGGCCGTGCTGCTGCTGCTGTTTCTTCTTCTGCTGCTGCTGCTGCGTGCCCTGGTTTGAATTTAAGAATATAAGCGGCTGGCTTCCCGTCCTGACAGCTGATGATCTCATGGAAAAATCTTCTGAGCAGTGCACTTAAAAACTGATTTATAATGAAATACAGCCCTGAGTTTTCTTCAGGATGTGAGGTTTGAGTTCTGGACTCGGGCACGAGTCGAGTGGGGAGTTTTTATGTTCCATTAAACTTTTGACATTTATTCTTCTGAGTAACCAAAAGCAGCCACTACATCCTGTCATGTCCTGCATGAGAGAGACTTTTCTTTAGGGCGCCTGCAGGCGTGTGGGGCCTTTTAATGCATATTTTTTAAACCCTGCAGCCCCCCCCCCCCTCCCCCTTCTAAACGGGACACATCAATCAGCAAAGCCTCACTTGACCCGCTCCTTCTCTCAGCGCAGAGGGAAGAAAAAACACCAAACCGCTTCAGGCCTCAGGCTAACAACTGTTTGGCATGACTGACAAGTGGATATTTTCATCATGATGAAAGAAAACACAAC